TTTTTATGAAAATTTTTTCCACTTTAGTCAAAAAAGAAAAGTGGCAGATCATGAGCAAGATTCGACGCCAATAAGAAAATGGCACATGTCCAAACACAATATAAAAAAGAAATGATCAGAGGCAAATCACCAAAAAACTTTGAAAGGAGTTAATTCTATTAATGTTAATGTATAATTTAAAGCCTGATCTGCATCATTGCTCCCTTTTCCCTTAGCGGTACTCAAATAAAATAAAAAAATTATTAATTAAAAACTTAATATTATCTAATTTTAAGACCTATCGTTAAAGGATTACAGTAACTAATGCTAACACTAATCAAAATTGTTTGATCTGATCTGAAATCACATGTAACTAGCAGATCTATAGCATGATGGTGTTATAATCTAGAGAGAGCTTTACTAAACTTGAACCAATTTAGCTTCGATCGTGAACAATATAGTGATTGAGGTCGAATAGTTTTAAATCAAGAAATTAATACATATTATCATATTTATAAGGTTTCTCTTTATTAACATAAATCAATACATTAGATTATTAACAATAATACTAATATTACAAAACCAGCTGTCCTTCCCTTCAAACTAAAACTACTCCTTTATATATTTGTAAACTTAGCTAGCAGTTTTAAACTCCTATTGAGAGCTTTTTACTCCAACCGGGAGTTTATTACTCCCGTTGAGAGTTCATAACTCCCTCGAGGAGTTAAATGCTCCACCATACCATGATAATCATTCTCAGGCTATACCCAAATATGAAAAATGATAAAAATAATACTGATAAAATAAGATAATAATAAAATGCTAAATAAAGAATAAGAAAAAAATTTTTTGAGAATAACAGTGGACAATCTTTATTGCACAAACCTTCCAAATTTGAAATTTGTGACTAGGGTTAATCTGCCCAATAAAAAATCTAGGATTGTTAGTCATATAAAATCAAATAATTGGTAATTTTCTAACATGTGATAATTGGCTAATCACATTTATTATAATTGATAATATTCTTTAAAATTTTTATTTTACTAGATCGAAGATATCTCACGATCCAGTGATCAGAATTTAATAATTTTTATATTATTCAATTCGTCTCATTAAGTCAAATCGAATGTTATAAAAATTGTCAAATTCCAATTATGGGTTCATAAAATATTATTAATAATCTAATATCTAATTTCACCCATATTTATATTAAAAATTTCGCTTTCTTCACAAATTTGTTATCTTTACTTAATCTAATTAATAATATATATTTTTTCGAATCATTTTTATATTATATCTTAGAATAACAATAGTTGTAATTTAGTAAATTTAACTTAATAAAAATGATAATTTGCTCTAATAATTTCTTATATTTTAAACAATTTAGATGTGACTTAACCTTTTACTTAGTCTTTTGCATAAATGTTATTTAAGATCGTTTTGTGCTTCTTTTATGAAATACCAGATCTTAGTTACATGCTGTTCTTTCTTTATTTTAATGTAAAATATTTTCATTTACTTGAATTGTGGACTTAATTGCTTTCGATCTCTTATAAACTTTATCTCTAATAAAACTTTTAGGTATTGTGATTATTTTTGATTAATTTTGATGAAATATAGGTATTCAAGAGCTTTTTACATTAATTGTTTTTTTTTGCAAACTTAATTAGTAGGTTTTGGAAAAATTACAATAATAAAAAGTACTTTAAAGCATATAAAAAAAATATTTTTTTTTTATTCAATTGTGATGATTATTACCAAATTTGGGTTTGTCCACCATGTTCAGATCTATCTAGCTACCATTTTTATAAAAAACATTAAGGATATTCTATAGAATAGATAGGCAATATAAGAAATAAGCTTTGCTAATGATTTGTAATTATTAATTTTTAATATCAGAGTTGCATAGTTTGCAGAGTTTGCCCACCTATTCTATAGAACATCCAAACTGTGTTTATTTTATATATAAATTAAAATTTTGACACCTAATTTTTATGTATATTTTTGTGTTATATTAGTTAAACCAATCAAAATTAACTATAAAATTTTAAATTTGACACTTTTTAGTAAAAGTTGATATATTATAATGTTCTCACTTAAATTTGACACTTTTTTAATAATAAAATAAAAGTGGATATCTTAGACTATTCAGTACTGTACTATTAACGTCACTTAAACTATTATAATATTGTTAAAAATAAAAATAAAAGAAAATCCTCTTACAGAAATATAGTTTTGATTACAAACCATTAATTTGTAAGAGGATTTTTGTATATAATAATTTTGTCAAATTATATCATTTTTAAAAAATCTATTAAAATAGGATAATTTAGACTGTCCAGTACTGTACATGTAATCACGAGACTGGGACGGATTGATTTTCAATATTAGGTTACATGAATGTGATTTTAATATGTACTGCTAACACTGTTTAATATTATATATCAGTGTAGTATAGCAAGTTTTTTTGCACCATGACTTATTACACAATGAAATCAATTTATTTTTTTACTACCACTTATATCTTGTAAACATGCCATTAAACCCTTTTAAGTTTATTTACAATAAAGGTAATCGTGATGAATAATATTATTTTTATATAAGAATTCAAGACCGTTTGAAATTTCTCGAGCTATTCGGACTTTATCGGCCCACTTAAGCTTTGAAAAATTATTTTTTAAATATTCGCGCAAATCTCCGTTATTTGCAAATTGTAAAAGTATATAGAATCCATTTGAATAATCTATTATTGGGCATATTTTTTTAAATTATTGATTTCATATGTAAACAACTTAGACTATGAGTTATTATTAACTGACCTCGAGTAACTCCGTAAAATTCAATAACATTATGATGTTTGTAAACTTTTTGTAAGCGTTTAATCTGAATAAATATAATGATGCATATTTATTAGATTATAATATCTTTGCGCTATTTTTATAACGAATATAATAATTTCCCGCCTCTTTAATGAATCCTTGGACTGTCTTCTCTTCATTCAAAGGAATATTGTTTAATTGTTTAAGCGCAACGGTTAATCCACGGGTTTTCCAACTTGATTTATACACAACACCGAATCCTCCTTCACCAATTCGTTCAAGAGTAGAAAATCTGTATAGTTGTAAACCTTGATGGCCTCCCTCTTTTTGAGTCAATCCATAGAATCTATATTTTAACAAGTGATTTTCATATGTCGAATAAAATTTAAAGGCTAGATGAATTAAAGCAAAATAACACAGTATATAGTATAAAAATCTTTTCCTATTTTTATATTATTTTATTTATTTATTTATTTTTATTTTATTTTTATTATTATTTATATATTATATATTATATATATATTATATATTATTTATTATACCAGTACGATCACATGAATGTGTAACATGAAATGTGATAGGGATGGTTTCGTTCAACTTTTTTGATGTCGCT